TCCTTCAAAGGTAGAGGATGTCAGGGGGTGGGGACCCCCCAAAACACACAAGCAGTTGCAATCATTCCTAGGATTTGCAAACTTTTATCGGGTGTTCATAAAAGACTTTGCTCAGGTGGCACTGCCCCTCACCGAATTACTGAAGACAAAGGGGAGGGGGGAGACGATAAAGGTACGGTCCCCGGGAGCAAAGTTGAATTGGTCAGCAGAGTGCCAGAGGGCCTTCGAGGAACTGAAACGCAGGTTCACAGAAGAACCTGTCCTAATCCACCCCGATCTGACTAAGCAATTTGTGATCCATTGTGACGCATCAGATTGGGCCTATGGGGCAGCATTGATGCAAAGGGATCCGGAAGGGAGGTTAAAACCATGTGGGTTCATATCAAAAAAGTTCAGCGAGACTGAACGAAACTGGCCGGTGTGGGAAAAGGAGGCCCTGTCAATCCTAAGGGCCCTGGAGACATGGAGGCACTTGCTAGAGGGAAGCGGCATACCCTTTGGGGTATGGACCGACCATAAAAACTTACAATATATCACTTCACCCAGGAGATTGTCAGCGAAACAAATAAGATGGGGGCAGTTCTTCAGCAGATTCGATTTCCAGCTGAAGTTTCACAAGGGGAGACAAAATGTGGTCGCAGACACATTGTCACGTATGCCGGAGGATGAAGGGAGGGGGCAAAACCCAAAGGGGAGTATTTTCTCGGAGCGGCAGTGGGGCATGGCAGTGCAAACCAGAGCACAAGCGGAGCGCAGTCAAAGACTGGTGGGGGTAGAGAGCAAGGGCGGGGGATGGGAGGAGGAGATAAGACAGGCATGCAGGGAGGATGAATGGCTGGAGAGGAACAAGGAAAAGGTGGAATGGAAGGGTGGATTGGGTTTTGTAAACAAGAAGGTATATATCCCAGTCAACCTGCGGGAAAAAATGATGATTAGATGCCATGACAACAAGGGAGCAGGACACTGGGGAGTTACGAAAACCCTAAAATTACTGGCACGCCAGTGTTGGTGGCCCGGGATGAGGGGTGACACAAAATCATATGTATCCCGATGTAACGCATGTGCACAGAACAAAGTACCCACACAAAAGCCAACAGGGTTATTGCAGAGGGTGGCAGAGCCGTCAAAACCTTGGAGTGTGATTGCCATGGATTTTGTGGGCGAACTCCCGAATAGCCGAGGTCAGCGCTACATATGGACGGTGATGGACTTGTTCTCAAAACAGGCGCATTTCATAGCGCTGCCTAAATTTCCATCTGCAGAAAAGTTGGCTGAGCTGTTTATTAAACACATATATCGGTTGCATGGCTGTCCCGATCAGGTGATCAGTGACCGAGGGGTGCAGTTTACGGCACGTTTCTGGGAAAGGTTCATGCAATTGATGGGGGTAGAAAGGACCCTGAGTTCAGCATTCCATCCCATGACCAATGGGGGAGTCGAGCGCACTCAGCAGACGTTGGGATTTTTCCTAAGAACATACACTAATCATTGCCAAAACGACTGGGCAGACCTAATCCCATTTGCAGAAGTCGCATATAATGGAGCCTGTCACGCATCCACAGGGAAATCCCCCTTTGAAATAGTGGAAGTAACCCCTTTGCCAAAACTGCCGAGCTGGGAGGAGGAGGAACCGTGGGGAAAGGAAGGGTGGCCAGACAAAGTGAGGGCGAGTTGGGAGGAGGTAGTGGAATCACTCAGAGAAGCCCAACGGAAGTATAAGTTATTTGCGGACAGAAAAAGGAGGGAAGGAGATAGGTTGGAGGAAGGGGACTTGGTATGGTTGAGCACCAAAAATCTCAAGTTGAATGCCCCTTCCAGGAAGTTATCTCCTAAATACATCGGTCCGTTTAAAATCTCCAGCAAAATCAATGAGGTCACATATACATTGCAACTACCGAAGGTTTTGGGGAAAATACACCCAACGTTTCACTGTAGTTTGTTGAAGAAGTACCAAGGTTCGCTGGATGAAGAAGGAGTATAGTAGTGACATGTATTTCCCTTCCAGGAAGAAGAGGAGGAGGAGGAGGACGTCATGTCAGGAACCGGTTTCCAGGCCTTGAGTTTTGGCGCAAAAAACCAGAATCCTGACATGGACTGCTGATAAGAATGTGCAGCTGGTGGCCTTGGGGGGAAGCAGTTGGCATTTGGCGGGGAATGTTGCGCGGGATTCTCGGCCGGCGGGAAAAGGGAATTCAATTGTGAGGGAGGGTATATAAGGGTTAAACTGCAGCTGCGGGCCAATCCTGGCTTTCTTCGTGTATGAATGTCCAGCAGTAAAAGTTCCTGATTGATTACGGATTGGCGTCCTGTGTCGTTATTGGGAGCGGCTGCTGTGAGCTTACATCTGAGTGTATAGTACATGTTGCTTTCAATTTTGTGAGCCTTTCTCATGAGAGGATTTGTCAAAGGATCATAGTGAGAATAGGTTTATTCTGTTCCGCTTGCATACTAATTGAAATAGGAACACAAAGCAATCAAAGGATTACATATAAAACATGTTTATAAGACAAATATAGATGCAGTGCTTGTTTGAGGAAGGAATTAAATTCACAAGGTTCATATGAAGGTAAGAAGCTAGAAAGTTTCCAAATTATGCATCTAGAAAGTAAATGTTAGACTAACTGATACAGTTTAATGAAAACCAGTCTAATAATCTATGGCTTACCCTCATGCCAATCCTTGGCACTCCCCACATAGGCCCGGCTTACAATCATAGAACCATAAGAGTTGGAAGGTCCCCCATGACTAACAAACTAGTCCAATGTGGACTATGCAAAACTATGGTTAAGTGAATCTGTAATTGGTTAAGCGGACGAACCCAGAGAGTACTCCCCAATTCTTCCTCTTCATCCTGGAAAGAAGTGACGAGCGGAGTGCCACAAGCAGGGTTCCGTCCTGTTCAGCATCTTTATTAATGATTTAGATGAAGGGTTAAAAGGCAGGATCATCAAGTTTGCAGATGACACCAAATTGGGAGGGATAGCCAATACTCCAGAAGACAGGAGCAGAATTCAAAACTATCTTGACAGATTAGAGAGATGATTGGCCAAAACTAACATGATTGGCCAACAGGGACAAATGCAAGATACTCTACCTAGGCAGAAAAAACGAAATGCAAAGATATGGGAAAGCGTGGCTTGAGAGCAGTACGTGTGAAAAAGATCTTGGGGTCCTCGTGGACAACAAGTTAAACATGAGCTAACAATGTGATGCGGCAGCAAAAAAAGGCCAATGGGATTTTGGCCTGCATCAATAGGAGTATAGTGTCTAGATCCAGGGAAGTCATGCTCCCCCGCTGTTCTGCCTTGTTTAGACCACACCTGGAATATTGTGTCCAATTCTGGGCACCACAATTGAAGAGAGATACTGACAAGCTGGAATATGTCCAGAGGAGGGCGACTAAAATGATCAAGGGTCTGGAGAACAAGACCTATGAGATGGGCATGTTTAGCCTGAAGAAGAGAAGGCTGTGAGGAGACATGATAGCCATGTATAAATATGTGAGAGGAAGTCACAGGGATGAGGGAGCAAGCTTGTTTTCTGCTGTCCTGGAGACTAGGACACAGAACAATGGCTTCAAACTACAAGAAAGGAGATTCCATCTGAACATTAGGAAGAACTTCCTGGCTGTGAGAGCCGTTCAGCAGTGGAACTCTCTGTCCCGGAGTGTGGTGGAGGCTCCTTCTTTGGAAGCTTTTAAACAGAGTCCGGATGGCCATCTGTCAGGGGTACTTTGAATGCAGTTTTCCTGCTTATTGGCAGGATGTTGGATTGGATGACCCATGAGGTCTCTTCCAATATATGATTCTATGATTTTATGATTCTTTGACCTTGTGGGCCATCCAATGACTTCCCTGGATCTAGACACTATATTCCTATTGATGCCATCCCATTGGTTTTTTTAGCTGCCACAAGACATTGTTGGCTTGTTGAACTTACTGAACTTGTTGTCCACAAGGACTCCAACATCTTTTTCATATGTACTGCTGTCGAGCCAGGTGTCCCCCCATTCTGTATCTGCAATTCATTTTTCTACCCAAGTAGTGTCTTGCATTTGTCTTTGTTGAACTTCATTTTGTTAGTTTTGGTCCATCTCTCTAATCTGTTAAGATCGTTTTGAATTCTGCTCCTGTCTTCTGGGGTATTGGCTATCCCTCCCAATTTGATGTCATCTGCAAACTTGCCTTCGAATCCTTCATCTAAGTAATTAATAAGGAGGCTGGATAGCCATCTGTCAAGGATGCTTTCATTGATCTTTTTTCTGTATGGCAGAGGACTGGATGACAGCTGTGGTCTCTTCCAAGCCTATGATTCTATGATGAAACATATCCTTCATAGGCAAAGCACCATCACCTCATTTGTCTGTCATATATTAGACTGCAAGACAAGTCACTTGCAAAAATGTTCCTGTGATTCTTTCATAGTCCTAGGAAGAGAAGGAAAGAGGAGGAGTCGTCTAACAGCCTTCTAAAGCAGAGCATGAACATCACAGGTGTAAGAAGGACTGGAACCTATATGGGAGAATGTCACTACTGAAGGAGCTACTGTCTCAAGAAACTGCAACAAGCAGTATGGTCACTGATTATTTTTTAGAAGAAAATGACTTACAGCATTTCTCTGGTTGTGCAGAATAACTATTTCAAGTCAAGGCAGCTGATCTGGTCAATTCATGCATCACTTACCATTTGCTCAAAGTGATTGTTGAAATCAGGCTGCAGGAAATCCCTCATCTCACTAAGGATACAGATGACATGAGCCACCCGCATCTCCTCTATCTCTGGGAGGGACACTTCGATTACCGAGGCACCAAAACTCTTAAGGAACTCCACAGCTGAGCAACCAGGAGCAGCAAGTAGATCACGTGAGAAAGGGGGAGGGAGAGGAGAGAGACAGAGTTTGTTATAACCAAGCAGGACACAGATAAAGCAGATAAAAGAATGACCAACCTTTTCTGTGTTGCAAGATAATATGTAAGACATGTGGAAGGCCCCCTCAAGGAAACAGGGATCACGGGTCAACTTTGTTGTAGTTCTGTCTTCAAAGCATCTCCCATTTATAATTATTCACTTAATAGCTTTTCTTAGCAAGATTTGTTCAAGGAGGTTTCTTTCCTCTACCTTACAATGCAGTTTCAGAATGCAATTTAACTGCATTGGGCTGGATTATATGAATCTAATTCAATCTAATTCAATGCAGTTAAACTTCATTCTGAAGTATGCTGATGACACTCAACTCATTCTGAGGATGGAAGGCCGACCAGACTCCATACCCGATAATTTCCATCAATGCCTTGAGGCCGTTACTGGATGGCTGCGTGCCAGCAGATTGAGGGTGAATCCAGCAAAGACAGAGATCCTCTGGTTAGGCCACCCGGACGGAGGGGTGATCCGGTTGCCTACCCTGGATGGCATGACATTATGCCCGTCATCTTTGGTAAAGAGTCTGGGAGTCCTTTTAGACCCTCTGCTGACAATGGAGGCCCAGGTCTCCGCCGTGAGCAGAGTCGCATTTTTCCATCTGCGTCAGGCTAGGCGTCCGGCTCCCTATCTGTCCAGGGACGACCTGGCCACGCTGACTCAGGCTACCGTCATCTCAAGGTTGGACTACTGTAACGCCCTCTACATAGGCCTGCCTTTATCGGTGATCCGGAAACTTAAACTAGTGCAAAATGCTGCTGCCGGCTTCTCGCAGGGGTCCCAGCGAGGTGTCATATCACTCCAAACTTGCAGCAACTGCACTGGTTGCCGATTGAGCACCGGATTACCTTTAAAGTGCTGATTCTTACCTTTAAGGCCTTACATGGCCTGGGGCCGGAGTATCTGAGGGACCGTCTCACCCCCTATCAATCCCCGAGATCACTTCGTTCAGACGATCAGAATCTCCTTGAAGGTCCCAATATTAGGACCTTTCACGTGATGTCTACTAGGCGTAGAGCATTCACGGTGGTGGCTCATTACCTGTGGAATGCCTTGCCAGCGGGAACACGAGCTCTCCGAGATTTACCTTCTTTTCGTAGAGCTTTTAAAACTTATTTATTTACACTGGCATTTGAATCTTGCTCATCGGAATTTTTCTTGGTTTTAATGTAATGTATCACATGTGTATATTGTAAATCGCTCCGAGCCTTCGGGGAGTGGTGGTATATAAAATTGATAAATACATACATAAATAAATAAATAAATAATAAGTTGCATTATATGGCTGTGTAGATGGGGACTGAGGCTGAGAGGATAATTGGTCCAACATCATCTAGTGAGTTTCCAAGTCTGAGTGAGGATTCAAACCCTGATCACTCAGCATTCTAATCCAACACAAATTGCAGTAAATCCTGATACGTTCTCTAGAGAAACATGTTAAATTTGGTCTGTGAAGAAGACAAAGTTGAAGCCATGCACTGACTAAGAACAGGCAGTTCTGCTCCTGCTTTGTTTTGAACAGAATGCAGTCATGGGTCAATGACACTGCGAGAGTTGTCCCCAATGCCTCAGGTTTGATGCAAATCATCCCCCATTCTGGTCATGCCTGAGCTAATGTTTACCCTGCAAAGAATTAAGGACTGGTCTTACTCAAGCATGCATTGTGAAATTTGTCTTTCCAAAATCCTTAAATGTATGCTGGAATTACATTTCCTTTCCTATGTTTTTTTAAGAACCAGGAGCATCAATCACAGAGCTCTCCCAAAGCTATATTTTGTTACTCTCTCCTGAAACCCTAAGATGTCCTCCAGTAAATCTCTCTTTTGTCTCCACCTCACACTTAGTAGATCAATACTCTAACCTTTGTTAGAGACTTGGCACATTTAAAGATTATTATTAACTATCTTGGGAACTCTGCGCTGACCGGGTTATTTGAGATAGGAATTGTGCGTCAAGGTTGGTCTTTATCAGTTATTTATATGGCTCACAGTGGTCTCAGGAAGTGAGTGAAGGTACTGCAAGTCCCATCATCCATCATCCGTCCTCCTCCAAACCACCGGGATGTAGAGTGGCCCATGGGGTCTCTGTGTGTCAAGTTTGGTCTTGATTGGTTATTGGATGAGGGTTGCAGCAGTCTTAAGAAGTGAGTGGAGGTACTTGAAATTCCATCATCCATCGTCCATCCTGCGAACAGCACCAGGATATAGAGTGACTCATGGGGGCTCTGTGTGCCAACTTTGGTCTTGATCGGTCATTGGATGAGGGTCGCAGAGGTCTCAGAAAGTGAGTAAAGGCACTGCAAGTCCCGTCATTCATGGTCCATTCTCCTCCAAGTAGCACCAGGATGTAGAGTGGTTCATGGGGGTTTGGTGTGCCAACTTTGGTCTTGATTGGTCATTAGATGAGGGTTGCAACAGCCTTGGGATGTGAGTGGAGGTACTTCAAGTCCCATCATCCATGGTCCATCCCTCTGGAAACTGCACCAGGATGTAGAATGGGTCATGGGGGCTTGGTGTGCCAACTTTGGTCTTGATCAGTCATTGGATGAGATTTGCAGGGTCTCAGGAAGTGAGTAGTTACTTCAAGAAGTGAGTAAAGTTACATCCATGGGCCATCCTCCTCCAAACTGCAGTGTGCCAAGTTAATAATAATAATAATAATAATAATACTTTATTTATACCCCGCTACCATCTCCCAAGGGACTCGGTATGGCTTAGATGAGGCCGAGCCCACAACACATCAATCACAAAGCAATAACAACAAATAATACAAAGCAATAAAATAAAACTCATAATAAAAAAGCAATAAACATTAACAATAACAGAGCAACAGTTAAAGACCTATGGCTGGGCCAGATGGAGTGATTAAAATTTAAAGATAATGCCGAGCATGAACAGATTAATATGAACTAGGATAGAGTTTTCAGAGAGGGATGGGGCAGGCAGACATTCCTAAATCCATAGTAAAGTGCATTTAGAGGACATAACGCTAGGAGTTTCCTTATTCTGGAAAGGCACACTGGAACAACCACGTTTTCAGGCTCCTCCTAAAGACTGCCAGGGTTGGGGTGTGCCTGATGTCCTTGGGGAGTGAGTTCCAGAGTCGAGGGGCCACCACCGAGAAGGCCCTGTCCCTCGTCCCCACCAATCATGCCTGCAATGGAGGTGGGAGCGCGAGCAGAGCCTCTCCAGATGATCGAGGAGTCCTGTGGGTTCGTACACAGAAATGCGGTCACGCAGGTAGGAGGGTCCCAAACCATTCAGGGCTTTGTAGGTAAGAACCTGCACCTTGAATTGGGACCGGAAAATGAACAGCAGCCAGTGGAGCTCCTTGAACAGAAGGGTTGACTGCTCCCTGTAAGGAGCACCAGTTAAGAACCTGGCCACCGCCCGTTGAACCAATTGTTTGGTCTTTATTGGTCTTTGTTGGGGGCCGCAGTGGTCTGTGACATCCGAAGTGTTGGAAAGTACTACAAATCCCATCATCCATTGTCTGCCCCCCACCCAACCTCACCAGGATGTAAAGGGTGTAATGGGGGTTATATGTGCCAAGTTTGATCTTGTTCAGTCATTGTTGAGGGTCGCAGTGGTCTCAAAAAGCGAGTGGAGGTACTTCAAGTCCCATCATCCATGGTATGTCCTTCTCCAATCCGCAATAGGATGTAGAGTGGGTCATGGGGGCTCTGTGTGCCAAGTTTGGTCTTTATCGGTGTTTGATGGGGACCACAGTGGTCCGTGGGAACCAAACCATTTGAAAGTACTACAAATTCCATAATTCGTGGTCCACCTCTCCCAAACCACACCAGGACGTCAAGGGGGTCATGGGGGTGATGTGTGCCAAGTTTGGTACAGGTGCGTCACCCATGTTGGTCACAGTGGCCAGTGAAAGTGGCAGCCAATCAGAAAGCTGCCACATACACTTCCGTCCTTCCGCCCTTCCGTCCTCCGCATACATATAAACATTCAATTTCCAGCAAAATAAACACTGGTAAACATTCAATACCGAAACAACAATAACAAATCAAACAAATGGATAAAAAAACAGACTCAATTAAAATTATAAAATAACAACTTAAATAAACTGACATGATACTTCACAAACATTTATAACATGACAAGCTCTTAAAACTCTTAAAATTACACTAAAATATTAAAGCCAATATGGTCAAAAACTTCCAATGAGTGAAGGTAAGTGTCCAATTAGCAGACGAAGGAATGTATAAAGATGTAGTAATTTTCCTCCTGAAGCTTTTTAAAGGACAAGAGAAGGTGTGGTTTTTAGTTCTTTAGGGAGGGAGTTCCAGAGGAAGAGAGTGATAATGGAGAAGGCCCAATCTCCCATTCCCACCAACTGCGCTTGGGATAGGGGTGGAACTGAGAGCAAGGCCTCCTCCACAGATCGCAGTGCTCATGCTGGTCTGTATGCGGAGATGCAGTTTTTCAAATAGCCTGGGCTCAAACACTTTAGGGTTTTATAAGTAATAAACAGCATTTTGTATTTAGCCCAGAAGCCAGTGGAGCTGCCGTAACTGTGGAATTGTCTGCTCCCTGTATAGTGCTCCAGTAATCTGGCTGCCCATCTCTCACCCAGATGTAGCTTCCAAACTATCTTCAAAGGCAGCCCCACATAAAGAGCACTGCAATAGTCCAGACAGGATATGTAACTAACAGGATGTAAAAAAGATAGGAACTTCTATTATGAAACATTTCCACATGAATATCTAGATAAGCAGTAAAACATCACCGTTCGTTCAAGAGCTTCCCCCACCAAGATAACTTGCAAACTGAAGTAGATGGTCTTAGGTAGAACACTGGCCTTCCCAAAATCCTTTCCTTATTCAAGTTAGGATATTCAGGATATTGTTTCAAGAGTATCAAACAATCTTGATCTTCAATCCTTATAAACATTATTAACATTAACACTAGAAGGTTTTGATCTGAGATTCGGTTGGCACTCGTACCTTTGGTACAACTAAACTTTAAAAGAAAAAAATCAACAATCACTTCATTAGGGCAGCACTAATAAAAATTTGGAACAAATATAAAACAAAAATGTATCATTATGGGCATCACCACTAGAAGCAAGGCAAAGAAGATTATTAGGATGGACAAAATGGCCGACATATAAAATTTATTATTGAAGAAAGATAATGAAATACAACTGAAGACAAGAGAAGAGATAAATAATCAATTCGCAAATGTGTTGTGGTTTCAATATTTGCAACTAAAGAATACTATAATTCAGATAAAAAATTAGGCTTCATGGGCAAAGAAGACATATGGGATCAAATTTTGAGAAAAAAGAAAAAAAACAATAATTTACAATAAGCTATTAGAATGGGCTACTGAAATGGAAGTAATAAAAGAATGCATGATTAAATGGGCAAAGAATATCGGCAGACAGATACAATATAAAGAATGGGAACAAATCTGGACAAAAAAGATCAAATACACTTATTCGACGGACCTACAAGAAAATTGGTTTAAAATATGTTATAGGTGGTACATGACGCCACATAAACTAAGTATAATGTATGGCAATGTCAGAAACAAATGTTGGAAATGCGAATCACAAATAGGAACTTTCTATCATGCGTGTTGGACTTGCTCAGTGGTTAGTGCATTTTAGAAAATGATACAACAAGAATGTGAGAAGATTTTAAAAATAAAAATTCAGAAAAAAAACGGAGTATTTCCTATTGGGGATAATAGAGGAAGAAATTGAATTAGACCAGAATAAAGATATTTTGTTTAACTATTGTATCACTGCAGCAAGAATAGTTTTGGCAAAAAAATGGAAACAGAGAGAAGTAGCTACAAAGGAAGAATGGATAAATAAAGTTATTGAAATCAAAGATATGGATAAACTGACCTTCACACTAAAGGACTCATATGGAAGACCAATGAAAAAAACAGACTGGAAGTTATTTGAGGAATATTTAGTAGTATACAAAATTAGACAAGACATAAAAGAAGAGGAAGAAGCAATTTCAGAAGACAGGAAGATGTAAAAATACAGAACCAGAGAGAAGAAGATCGAGGAAGTCAGAAACCCCCTTCACAATCTACACATCCTCTACACACCCTCCCCCCTTTCCTCCCCAGATCCCCCTTCTCTTTCTCCCTTTCACATTCAACACCAGTCCTAGACCCGATCCCTTTTACCCTCCTCCCTGACTCCCCCCTTCCCTATTCCATCCTACCTTCAATCCTAAAACCTTTCACTTTTTATTATACAATTGTAAGAATACTCCTTAATAAAAAAATATTTTTTTTAAAAAAAGGAATTGATTGGATATTCAATGGCATAGGATACTATAGATCTTGGTCATATCTTTCACATTACCTTTTCGGCAGTTAACTAGAATTTCATCATTGCAAGCCTGGCAAGGAATAAACAAAGATGTTATTGCCTAGCCTTCACATTTCCAGACTCATCCTAAGATACTTTTCTCCACTCTTTCTGTTTATAGAGCTCACCATATTCTCAGTTCTGTTATGGAACTACCATATGACTTACTATTTACAGGGTGAGAAGGGGATATCATACCCAAAGAGCCTAGAGGCCCACATCTAACCCATGCTAACAACAGATGTGATGATAGGATAGTTTAACACAAAAGAAATAGGGAGAAAAACAGGCACCTTAAAGAAAGTCCAATCAATTCCCATCTTAAAGTCCTTGAGATCAGAAGTGATAATTTCTGAGAGGGATGGTTTAGGCTGGCATAGTCCTGTAAAAAAAAAAATTAAAGCAGAAAAGTCACAGGGAATAAAAAAAAAACCCACAATGTGCTTTCTAGCATTGGAAGAAAACGGGGAAGAAGACTCACCATATGGATAGAGAGGATCTGGCCCAGCTAGGATTGAATATACGAGTGCTGCATCGGCCACTGATGTACAAAGAGGGCCTGGCCAAAATATAAACACATTGTGGTGACTTTATGATTCCATGTTTTACTGCTTTAGTATTTAAACAAACTTTCTGGTCCTTTAGACTGAAGGAGAAAGGAGAAATATGCCTGCATGAAAACATTCTCTTTTAAAAAAAGAAAAACTTAGAGCTATTTGCTCATTCCGTAAGAAGAAAATCATCATCGTCATTACAGCACACAAAGATTCTATCTCGGGGCGGATCTAGACAACTCCTTTATTGAGGAAACTTCCGCAATAAAAAGGGGGCTGTCCAGTCAAAGTTCTGGACAATCCCAAATTAATTCGCCACAAACCAGGAAAATCCTGGTTTATGGCAAATTAATTTGATAATGGGTTTATTCCCTGCCTTCTTGGAACCCACTACTTCCAGGGGCTGGACTGGAGTAAATTAGACTGGAAAACTGTGGGAATCCCAACCCCTCCCCAAAAGGCCAAAAATTGGTAGCTTAGAGAATGCCCTTGAGAAAAGCTGTCAAGGCGGCCATGCCCCGAGTCGACCGAGGGCGGATCAAAGGTGGTGGTGGGCGGCCGCCGAGTTTGTAACAGAGTTCAATTGTAGCGGCAATCCAGTTTGACAGGCGCTGGGAAGAAATTGTTAGTCCGAGCTTGTCTGGTACTTAAGCGACAAAGAGTCTTGGAGTTTTACAGGACTGATGTGAGTCCTGTCCCTATAGAATAAAAGGGCTCCGTGGACATTGAGGAGATGGAGCCTCTTTTCCATCAGTGAGGAAGGGTTCTGAAAAGGCAGGGAGGACAATGCCCTCGTTGATGTGGCAAGAAGGTGATGTCTGTCCAGAGTACCACCCGGTCGGAGTGAAAAAGAAGGTATGGCTCATCTACCCAGAGGGTAGCGAGCTCTGATGGTGGGCAGGCTGAAGTGATTGCCACGAGGAATGTCATTATTGACTTTTCAATTACTTTAATGCATAGGTTCTTTTTATTGCAATTTCCAGTGTGAGAAGGTATATCAGATTACAGAAAAACATTTAGACAAAGAATGATATTGGACATACAGACATACAGATTCTATGCAACTACATTGGGTTTACAATTACATTGGTTAACAGACAAATAAAGGGGAATTACATTTTCACTCAACATTCACACCACGTGTACACGCATTCATCCTCAGGCATTCAGATATTACCATATAATTTTCTCCCTCCTCAGAGAAGCACCTGTTAGGCCACACTCTGCTTTCCTGCAGCCTGCCAATGCATATTTCCATAACTTCAAAACTTTAAAATGCCAAAACTTCTTTCCCTAAAAACAATGCCAAGGATCAGATCTCTGTTTTCCATTCAGCAGAACCTGACTCCCTGCACAAAATCTAAGACTCCAAAAGTGCACTTCTTCCTCTTCCCTTGAGAAAGAAGCCCCAAAGTGGCCAGACTGCTTTTATAAAATCTGCACATTAATTTTTTTGTGACAGAAAAGTGATCTTCCAGAAGAGGAGATGAAGGTCGGTTGTGGCCAATGGTTCAAATGGAGAACCGGTGAGCCGAGACAGCACAAGTTTGAGGTTCCAACCGGGGGTCAGGGGGGTGGATCGGCGGATTAAGGTTGGTATAGCCTTTTTGGAATGTCTTAATAAGATGGCTGTGGAACTGCCGAGTTGCTGGAGATGGCAGGAGATAGCAGTCAGGTAAGATTTTAAGGATGACAGGGTGAGATTCTGGTCAGCCAAGGAGAGCATACATTCTAAAATCATCAGTATTGATGGAGACAAGATAGGTTCACCTCGAGCCCAAAGGAAGTCCTGCAGGTGGGCAAGGCAGTAGGAGTAAGCTCTAGTAGTAGCAGGTTTGTGAGCAGCCTTCAGGATGGATCTGATGGCTGGTCTGAAGGACATCAAAGGGCTATCCTCCACGCAGTGAGGTGGAGAGAGGATGAAGGAGGAGCCCATTGTCCCTTGTCAGAAGGTCTGGTCGGGGGGGGAGGCAGAGAGATGGCCCTGGGAGAGAGAGATGGAGGAGAACCGGGTACCAGGTCTTTCTCGGCCAGGCTGGAGCTATTAGAATACAGTTGGCTCAGGACGACTGGATCTTCTCAACTACCCTGAGGATCAGGGGAATTGGGGAGAACATATAAAGAAAGTTCGTCGACCAGTTGAGGAGAAACACGTCCCCTAGGCACCCGACAGACGGGTCTGGAGGAAGGCAGGCTCACCAAGGAAGCTAAGAATTCAACTGAGAGGCAAAGAGATCGACGTCTGGGTTGAAGAGAGCATTAAGGTCTGTCGGGTCAAGCATCCACTCGTGGGAGATTGACCTTGTTCGACTGAAGTCGGCTTGGCCGTTGAGGGAACCTGGGAGGTGAAGAGCTGAGATCGAGATCAAGTGGTCCAGGCACCAGCGTCAGATGGTCATTAAAAGTTTGAGTAGCTTTCTGGATCCTGTGCCACCTTGTTTCTTGATATAATACATTGCCCCTGTGTTGTCCGTGAGGATCAGGCGAAGGCCTTAAGGGACTTGAAAATCATCAACAGTTCGAGATAGTTTATGTGATGAAGCCTCTCTTGGGGAGACGAGAGGTCTTGAATAGAGAGTTCTCCTGTATGGCATCCCCTGGCAAATGTGGAGGAATTGGTCGTCAGTGTGACCGAGGGTTGTCAAGGATGAAAGGGAATCCCGATGCAGACGTTGTGTTGAGACTTCCACCATATTAAGGATCTTCAGACTAATGTCAATACCGAGTGGGTTTTGGAGTTGTGTTCTCGAGACACGTTGACATGGTCGAGAAACCACTGTTGAAGAGGCTGAAAGTAAAATCTGGCATGGAGGGTGACCATCACTGTCAACCCCATGTGGCCTAGCAGGACTTGGATGTCCCTGGCCTTGACTGTACGAGTGGAGGCACATCGCTGAATCTTGCACTGAAGGGAAAGAAACCTTGCCTCGGGAAGAGAGACAGTCTGGATCATCGAGTTAAAGAGAGCGCAGATGAACTTTATGGAAGTCATCAGTGTCAAATGAGATTTCTCGGCATTGAGATGGAGGTCATCAGGTCGAGATGGGCAACCGTCGTGTCAACATGGGATCTGAGAAGAGCTGGGGACTGTGATATAATCAGCCAATCGTCTAGGTAAGGAGAAATTAAGATGTTCTGCCACTGACATGCATTCTGTGAAAGTTCTGGGGGGCCTTGTGAGGCCAAAAGGTAAGACTTTGAACAGAAAAGTCTGTTTGTTGACTTTGAATGCTAGAAAGCATCTGTGGGACTCACAAATCGCCAAGTGGAAGTAGCCGTCTCAGAGGTCAATCAAGGCAAAGTGGTCACCATAGTGAAGGAGTAGTAGAATGGATGATACCGTCACATTTCTGAACTTGCTACCGTCTCCGTAGTCACGGTACAGGGTGGCTTCGACTGTCGAGTAAGCCTTGATGATCTTGAGGTTACCAACAACGTTGACCTGGGTTTCGACAGTGCTTGGGCTGCAGTTGAGGTCGAAGGCTCCAAAGTCGAAGGAACAGAAGTTGAAGCCGAAGGAGTGAAAGTTCGCTCATAAAGTAGGTATTTCAGTCAGGTGGCCCTGTTCTTCCACACTGAGCCATGAGGGATTGGAAATGGCGGCAGGAAGAGATAACATGGGCTTTGCCCACACAGAGAAGACATTTTGAGTGCTTGTCAAAGTCAGGAAATTTTGCAGAGCACTGGGAGCACCGCTTGAATTGAGTAATAGACATCGCAAAGAAGTTTCTGAAAAGAGCTATGGGGCGGGAAAACAGGAACTGTGGAGCATGCGGCCAGAGCGCCTTTTATGCCCTGGAGAGGGGACTGGGTAGGATTACCACCAAAACTTTGGTTTTAAACTTTAGAAGTTTTCTGTTGGAGCCTGTGCAGGTGCAGATACTCCATATGTGTGCATTCACACAGTCCACAAAGAAAACCCCCTTTTAAAAATCAAAGTACTTACCCATCCTGCTGTTGTGGCTCTCCTGGCATGTAGACATCTCCAGGTGTTCGCCCGGACCAGTCCAGAAGAACATCTGGACACCCACTCCAGAAAGCACGCATTTTCTGAGGTGTGTGTGGACAGGGCCCCAGGAATATTCGTGTTTTTTAAATGTGGATGCTCCTGGGATAAAGTCCTGTCTAGAAAGGCCCTCGGTCTGCCCATCCTGAAATATGCTGGTTTTCAACATGTAGGGAGCTCTTATAACAAGCATACACATTGCAATAGGCATCTTTAACTAGAAGTGTTATACATGTTCCACCTTGTCCTTTTTTTGTGGCTGAATCATCAGCTTGAAAATGATACCTGGCACAACAATCCCTCTGCTCCGCATCATGCCCATCCCCATAATGCTTGCTCTCCATCCTTCCCATCTCATCACCATTTCTCAAAACTAAACTCTTGGGTTCATCAATAACGCATCTATACTGAGAATGCTCTTATAAATGTCTAAAAACTGCAATGAAAAGTGACCTTTCTTCCAAAATACAGGAAATCACACACCACTGCATACACACACACACAATTTCTAATCACAAAAATGTGATGAAACACTTCTTACCAAGGCTCACAGTAGAATACGAGAGAGGATGGCAGCCATATGCACTGATACGTCCAAATGTACCTTCAGATGAGACATAGCCAGTTAGTTAAGATGAAAAACTGCTAGTGGTTAAAAGGAGAATGTCAGAAGTTGCTGCCATGACATTTTCATACTATTAGCTTCTTAAACGTATCCATGCATTCCATGCAAATCAAAAATACCAAGCTAACTGAGTTTACCTTTCAGACCCACAATGCCACAGAAAGAAGCAGGGATCCTCACAGAACCTCCCCCATCTGTGCCAAGAGCCAATGGGCAAAGACCTAGAAAGAAAGGACATTATGAAGGGAAATTGCATAGACCTTTATTTCTCACACACATCCGACTGCAAAGAACTTGTCATCTACTTTGGAATCTTCTGCTATCCATCCGCCCACTTCCCAACACCTTTCTTAATACCGCCTTTTGAAATATTAATCCTTTTTACCTGAAGCCACAGCTGCTGCTGACCCACTGGAACTGCCACCTGTGAAATGCTGTGGGTTGTAAGGGTTTCTAGCTGTATCATGATACCTGGAAGTAGTAAAATAAATTATTCTTACCACAATGCTTGAGTCATTCCACCCAATCAAGCTCTGTCAATAGAAATAGCCATTGCCAGGAGAAAACAGCTGAGAGCAATAGTTTTAAAGTAACAAGTGTTGATTAGAGTGGGAGTGGGGGATCTGTCAATGCTGAAGTTGTGCAATCTGTGTTGTCTCTGCTGAACATAGCAACCTTCCAAGCCTCCTCTCTAACTGTTTGTAAATGTGTATAATTGTTAACCTATGTTGTGTGTACATTTTGGTTTGCCAGTTTGACTGTACCTCTTTGGTGTGAGAGGGGCTTCAGACACAGGACTCCATTTTGTATGCAGTTTGCATTAGACCTCTGTGGAAGTGGATGCATGTTTGCTTTTGGACTTCAATGTTATAAGTCTGCTTACCACTTCATTGGAAGTAGATGTGTGTGCTTATGGACTTCAGTGAGTACTCTTAAAATTACACTAAAAATATTAAAGCCAATATGGTCTACAACTTCCAGTGAGTGGAGATAAGTGTCCAATTAGCAGACAAGGTCATGTATAAAGATGTATTAATCTTCCTCCTCTGTTTAAAGACTATGTGCCTGTATACTGGTAGGTTACATACCTGTGACCATCTTTCTTCGAGTGGTGCTCTGTGAATTCACACATGTGGAGTGTCTGCGCCTGCGCGGGCACCAACGGAAACGTCTGTAGTTTAAACTTTTCAAATTTTGGCGGTAACCCCGCCCAGTCCCCGGCAGGGCATAAAAGGCACCCCGCGCGCACGCTCTGCAGTTCCTACGCCACAAGGCAGCGAGAAAGGCAGAGGTTTATTAGAGGGGAGGCTGGGCAGGTTTGTGTGAATTCACAGAGCACCACTCGAAGAAAGATGGTCACAGGTATGTAACCTACCATTTTTCTTCGTGGTCTCTGTGAATCCACACATGTGGAGACTAGCAAGCTGAGGTCCCGGAGGTGGGAAGAACAAACCGACCCCTTTATGAAAGACCAAACAATTTTATTGAAGTATCAACAACAGTATGACATGAAAAAAGGACAGAAAGTCCCTAAACGCAGGAGTGCATGATCCTCCTTGACCAAAGTGATCGCTATCACAGTATAAACACACTCATTCATATGAGGGTGCAAACATAATAGTTGCATAGGAACGAACGCTACAGTCAAGTTACGGTAATGAGGTTACGAAGGGCCTCAAGAGCAGCAACAACCCAGAGTGCAAACAGTGAAAGGATTGAGCATACATAATGAAGACAGAGAAACATCACCCTGGTGTCTACCCTACGTCTGAGTAGGCCACGGATCGTAAGAACCGCATGTTATCCCTTGTTTTGCAGAGCAATCTGTCATCATGTACACAAAGTAATGAAACAATAAAGCATGTAAAGCATAACACATGTTATGTTATATGTTTTTAACACATATATGTTTTTAACACATATACGAACTGAAACACCAGTTACAATTATGTTGTAGGCATTGAAAACCGACATCGGTATCGAAGTGCTTGGTATCGAGGCTAGGGAGGGCAAGAAGTCAAGATTGTCCTACCAAAGGCCATATCAGACCTACGCCTAGTATCCAATCTATAATGTGAGACAAAAGTCAAAGGGTTCGCCCAAATGGCCGCCTTGCATATCAAGTCCAAGGGAATCCCCTTCAAGAAGGCGGTTGAAGCGGCCATTGCCCTGGTTGATTGAGCCCAAACAACCGGAGGGGGCTGACAACGGGCCAGTTGGTAACACAGTTCAATGGTCGACGCAATCCAGCAGGACAATCGCTGTGACGACACTGGCAGGCCCGGTTTATCTTGGGCATAGGAAACAAAAAGTCTCTGAGTCCTTCAAGACTGAGAAGTCCTGTCCCTGTAAAATAACAAGGCCCTCCGCACATCGAGGAGGTGCAGTCTTTTCTCCGTCGGAGTAGAGGGAGATGAAAAAGGGAAGGCAGGATAATGTCCTCGTTAACATGGAAGGGGAAAAAATCTTTGGCAAAAAAGAAATGTCCATGCGGAGAACTGCCCTGTCAGCATGGAAAAACAAACACGGCTCGTCAACCCTAAATGCCGCAAACTCAGGCGGCCTGCAGGCAGAGGTGATCGCCACCAGAAACGCCATTTTCCAGGAGAGTAGGCGAGGGTCGATCGTTGCTAAGGGCTCAAACGGTGGTAACACCAGTCTGGAGAGCACGAGCTCGAGGCTCCAGCCAGGAGTCGGAGGGCGAACTGGGGGATGCAGTTGTATTCCTTCAGGAAGGATCTAATGGAAGTGTCACAGAAAAGAGAGGTTCCTCCCCTCTGTTGGACATGCCATGAAATGGTGGCAAGGTGTGATTTCAACTATGAGAGCGATAGGCCCCACTCGGTTAGGGAAAACAAAAACTTAAGAACTGCCGGTATAGAAAGCGGAAACTCCCGAATTCCCTTCTCTCGAAGAAACCCCTGGAATCAGGCTAAACAAGCGGCATACAACCTCTTTGTTGCTGGTTTGTGGGCAGCAGTAAGGATGGACCGCACCTGTAGACACAGCGATCTCAGAACTGGATCCTCCAGGCTGAGAGATGAAGGGACGGCAGGTCAGAGTGGAGAAGTAGGCCTTCTTCCCTCGACAGAAGGTCTTGGCGGGGAGGGACCTGTCAATGCTGACCACCAGAGAGCTGCAGGAAGACCGGGTGCCACGCCTGTCGTGACCATGCAGTTGGCCTGCGCTGCCTGGATCCTCTCGATCACCTTGGAGATGAGCGGGAAGGGTGGGAAGATGTAGTGGAGATGCTTTGACCAGTCAAGAAGGAATGCGTCTCTGAGGCACCCCGGTGCCACGCCTGGTGGAAGATGGGCACCGAAAAGAGGAAGTTGGGCATTCACGGGAGACGCGAAGAGATTGACGTCTGGCCATCCCCATCCTCGAAGAGCAGGGCCAACTCCTGTGGGCTTAGCCTCCATTCATGGGACAATGATCGTGTGCGACTCAGCGAATCCACCTTGACATTTAGAAAATCTGGTAGATGTAGTGCTGCAAGCGATATCGACCAGGCTACACACTGTTCCCAAAGAGTCAGTGAAAGGGCCAGCAGTTTCCTGGACCCCGTTCTGCCCTGTTTGTTGACATAGTACATGGCTAGTTGGCTACCATGTTGTCCGTGAGGATCTGGACATTCTTGCCCGTAACCAAGGGGGCAAAGGCTTTCAGGGATTTGAAGATCGCCAAGACCTCCAGGTAGTTGATGTGGCATAACCTCTCCTCGGCCAACCAAAGGTCCTGGACGGAGAGTTCTCCTGTATGGTATCTCCAGGCGAACATCGATGCATCCGTCATGAGGGTGATCGATGGAGGGTCGGGATAGAAGGGGATGCCCTTGCAGACATAATGTCGAGTTGTCCACCATCTCAGGTACTTTTGTACAGCTAACGGGATGTTGAGACGCTTCACATTGTGATCTGTGATTGGGTTGAAGTGGTCAAGAAACCATCTCTGTAGAGGCTGAAACCGCAGCCTTGCCAGTGGAGTTACCATCACTGTCGACGCCATGTGGCCTAGGAGGACCTGAATCTGCTTGGCTGTTACCGTACGGGACTGAATACATCGGAGTGCTTCGAGGCGGAGCGCCCAAAATCTTGCTTCGGGAAGATACACCGACTGAGTCAGCGAATCGAACATGGTGGCGATGAACTTTATGCATGTCGGTTGGGGTCAAGTGCAACTTTTGTTTGTTGAAGACCGAGGCTCTCGAGAAGATAGTCTTTAGGATTTGAGTCCTTAAAAGCGCTGCTGAGTGCGCTGCCAGCAGCCAATCGTCTAGGTATGGAAAAATCCAGATTTTTTGCCTTCTGAGGTATGTGGCCACTATCAACAAACATTTTGTGAAGGTTCTTGGAGCCGTAACCAGGCTGAATGGAAGTATATTGAAGGCATAGGTTTGACCTGCAGCCAGATAGCGTCTGTCTTTGTCTTATCGACACGTGAAAATACTCATCTCAGAGGTCGATGGTCGTGAAGAAGTCCTCCAGCTGAAGGAGTGGGAGTATGGACGACACCGTCACCATTCTGAACTTTTGGGCTTTGATGAAGGAGTTGAGATCCCTCAAGTCAAGGATTGGGTGGAAGGAGCCATCTGGCTTGGGGATGGTGAAATAGCGTGAGAAAAAGGCCTGCCCATTCAAGCAGTCAGGGAAGGGAGAGATTGCTCCTTTTTGAAAAAGAGTGTTGAACTCTGATAAGATTGACAAGGAGGGCTCGGTATCGACGATTCGCCCTGTTGGGGGAAGCTCTTTGAACTTAGTGCATAGCCTTCTTTTACAATCTTCAGCACCCACGCATCTGAGGTGATGAGTCGCCATGCGTCAATTAAATGCACGAGCCGGTCGCCGAAAGGCGGGTGTCGAGGTCGGGGCTGGAAGGCAGGAGCTCTGGGAATGGGCATGGTAGTGGCATCTGTAATGAAAGACGAGACGGTATCGTCTGGGGCAGCGTCAAACACTCTAGGGTGGTTTCCGCCTGAAGCTTGGTGAGCCCTAGGGCGCTGCTGCTGCTGATGGGATCATCGCTGCTGGGGCTGTTGATGTTGGGTTTGCTGCTGTGGGCCTGGCAACGAGCGAAGAGTTTGATGTTATGGGTACTGTCGGTATGGGGCACCATTTCTCCTCCTGGTGGACTGGAACCACCTTGTTCTCTGGGCCTGGGACTGATTTTCGATTCCACACTTGGCTGCCAGGATCTTGAAATCCAGGTTGGCTTTCAGCTTGTCATTGGTGCCTGTGTTGAAGAGGCCCAGGGCATCAAAGGGAAGGTCTTCGATAACTTGCCTCAAGGAGGTTGAGAGGCCTGAAGATCGGAGCCAGGCGTGGGCCATCATCTTTCCCGCTGTATCACCGTATGCTTGGCCATCTGCATCTGGTGATGTGCCAATGAGTTTGCCTCTTGAGCAAGGGTAGTTAGCACTGTACAGAACGACTTTCTCCCAGAGGATTTGTTGGTATGCCCCCATACAAGCGCCATAGTTCGCCATCCTGGTCAGGAGGATGGCACCTGAATACAATTTTCGACTGACAGCATCAAATCTTTTTCCCTCTCAGTCAGATGGGGTTGAAGATTGCCTTCCAAATACTTGCGCCACCTTTACGACCACCGAGTTCGGGTCAGGGTGGTGTTTGAGCCATTCCAAGCCCTCGTTGTCCATACGGTACCAGGCTTCGATTTCCTTAGAAGTGGGGGGAATAGACGATGGAGTCTTCCACGAAGCTTGGATAACATCGAGGAGGTACGGTGGAAAAGGTAGCAGTGGGGCCAGTGGCGTCTCGGCTTAGACCCGCTTGAAGACCGGTCAGTCACTGCCTTGGAGGTGTGTTTAATCTCCAGGCCTAGAGTCGGCCATGCGAGCCATCTGGTCTAATTCAACTGCTATGGAATAGTTACCCCTCAGCCCGGTCATAGCTAATTTCTACATGGAACACTTTGAAAAACAAGTCCTGGAAACAGCAAAAAAAAAAAGCCCACTATATGGTTCAGATATGTGGATGACACTTTCACCATATGGAGCCATGGAGAAGAACTAAACAGGTTCCTGGACCATCTTAACAGCATCCACCCAAACATCCAATTCACCATGGAAAAAGAAAATGAAGGAAGACTGACTTTTCTAGATGTCCTTGTTGTTGTTGTTCATTCGTTCAGTCGTCTCCGACTCTTCGTGACCTCATGGACCAGTCCACGCCAGAGCTCCCTGTTGGCCGTCACCACCCCCAGCTCCTTCAAGGTCAGTCCAGTCACTTCAAGGATGCCATCCATCCATCTTGCCCTTGGTCGGCCCCTCTTCCTTTTGCCTTCCACTTTCCCCAGCATAATTCTCTTCTCTAAGCTTTGCTGTCTCCTCATGATGTGGCCAAAGTACTTCGTCTCTAGTACCCTTCCCTCCAGTGAGCAGTCGGGCTTTATTTCCTGGAGGATGGACTGGTTGGATCTTCTCGCAGTCCAAGGCACTCTCAGAACTTTCCTCCAACACCACAGCTCAAAAGCATCAATCTTTCTTCGCTCAGCCTTCCCTAAGGTCCAGCTCTCACGTCCGTAGGTTACTACAGGGAATACCATGGCTTTGACTAGGCGGATCTTTGTTGCCAGTCTGATGTCTCTACTCTTTACTATTTTATCGAGACTGGACATTGCTCTCCTCCCAAGAAGTAAGCAGTCTTCTGATTTCCTGGCCACATTCTGCATCTGCAGTAATCTTTGCACCTAGAAATACAAAGTCTGTCACGGCCTCCACATTTTCTCCCTCTATTTCCCAGTTTGTCAATCATTCTTGTTGCCATAATCTTGGTTTTTTTGATGTTTAGCTGCAACCCGGCTTTTGCGCTTTCTTCTTTCACCTTGATTAGAAGGCTCCTCAGCTCCTCCTCGCTTTCGGCCATCAGAGTGGTGTCATCTGCATATCTGAGGTTGTTAATGTTTCTTCCAGCAATTTTTCCCCCAGCTTTGCATTCATCAAGCCCCGCACATCGCATGATGTGTTCTGCATACAAGTTAAAAAGGTTGGGTGAGAGTATGCAGCCTTGCCGTACGCCTTTCCCAATCTTGAACCAGTCTGTTGTTCCGTGGTCAGTTCTTACTGTTGCTACTTGGTCCTTGTACAAATTCCTCAGGAGAGAGACAAGGTGGCTTGGGATGCCCATCCCTACTTTTAAATAAGCAATGCATGGAAGTGGAAGAAGACAACAGAATAGGAAGGACAAGAGACCTCTTCCAGAAAATTAGAAACATTGGAGGTAAATTTCAGGCAAAAATTGGTATGATAAGAAACCAAGATGGCAGGGACCTAACAGAAGCTGAAGAGATCAAGAGAAGGTGGCGAGACTATACAGAAGATCTGTATAGGAAGGATAATAATTGATAGTTTTGACGGTGTGGTGAATGAATTAGAACCAGACATCCTGAGGAGTGAGGTTGAATGGGCCTTAAGAAGCATTGCTAACAACAAGGCAGCAGGAGATGACGGGATCTCAGCTGAACTGTTTAAAATCTTAAAAGATGATGCTGTCAAGGTGATGCATGCCATATGCCAGCAAATATGGAAAACACAAGAATGGCCATCAGACTGGAAAAAATCAACTTATATCCCCATACCAAAAAAAGGAAATGCAAGACTGCTCAAACTTCCGTACAGTGGCCCTTATTTCTCATGCCAGTAAGGTAATGCTCAAGATCCTGCAAGGAAGACTCCAGCAATACATGGAGCGAAGAGTTGCCAGATGTTCAAGCTGGGTTTAGAAAAGGCAGAGGAACGAGAGACCAGATTGCCAATATCCGCTGGATAATGGAGAAAGGCAGGGAGTTTCAGAAAAACATCTATTTTTGCTTCATTGACTATTCTAAAGCCTTTGACTGTGTGGATCATAATAAGTTTACTAGATGTCCTAGTAATCCGTAAATGAGATCAACAATTGGGTCAGACCGTTTACAGAAAATCCACTCACACAGATAGATATCTACATAAAAACTCCAACCATCACCAAGTCAAAAAAGAAGCACCATTAAAGCCTTGGCAGACCGTGCAAAAAGAATCTGCGAACCCCACCTCCTCCAAGATGAACTGAACCACCTAAACTGGGCTCTACAGGCCAATGGATACTCCACCTCAGACATCAGAAGAGCTGCAAGACCAAGAACAAGCCACGAGAGTAAAGACAAAGATCCACCCAGAGGAAAAGTGTTCTTGCCATACATCAAGGGAACCACTGACCGCATAGGGAAGCTGATGAGGAAACACAACATACAAACTATCTACAGACCCACCAAGAAAATCCAACAAATGCTACGTTCAGCAAAAGACAAGAGGGATCCTCTCACTTCTGCAGGAGTCTACCGTGTACCATGCAGCTGTGGACAAGTCTACATAGGGACCACCAAACGCAGCATTGCCCAAACACGAATCAAGGAACATGAAAGGCACTGCAGACTACTTCAAGAGAAGTCAGCCATAGCAGAGCACCTGATGAACCAACCTGGACACAGCATATTATTTGAGAACACAGAAATGCTGGACCTCTATCAACCCCCATGTCAGACTACACAGAGAAGCCATTGAAATCCACAAGCATGTGGACAATTTCAACAAAAAGGAGGAAACCATGAAAATGAACAAAATCTGGCTACCAGTATTTAAAACACTCTAAAATTAGAACAGCACAACAACAAAGAGGAGAGAAACAAGGACATCTAATCACCTTTCAACAAAAGATTGCTCCAGGCTCTGCCAGTCCATCAAATGCTAATCAAGGTGATCAGTTGAAACATTCACACCTAGCTCCAACAGACAAGATTCCTTTGTCCCACCCTGGTCATTCCACAGATATATAAACCCTTTTTCCTAGTTCCAACAGACCTCATTACCTCTGAGGATGCTTGCCATAGATGCAGGCGAAACGTCAGGAGAAAAATGCCTCTAGAACATGGCCATATAGCCCAAAAAAACCTACAACAACCCAGTGATTCCGGCCATGAAAGCCTTCGACAATACATGGTTCTTCAATTTAACTGTTGAGCTATTACTGTGTGCTATTACAGTAATACTTTATGAATACCACTTTTCTTAAGAGCTGCCTTCTAACAAGGTCATACTTTTCTTCTGAGTTGTGGTCTCTATGTTCATGGAGACTTGCATTTGCCAAACAGTGGTGAAATCATTTTTACCTTTGCAATAAGATTATGTGTACTGGAATTTCCAACAGATAATGGAATTTCCAATAGTCTCATATTTGCTGATCTCTGAAACAACAGTAGATTTTGTTGTGAACTATATAAATTGTCCAGCTAGAGTAGTCAGTGAATCAGGAAAATTTGATTCACCATATGTCAACTGATGCCAATCTATTTGGAACTACTTTCTCATTTTTTGCTCTCCGTTACCAGCCATCAAGTTAAAGAAATCTGTGATTTACTGGAGCAAGTTTTGAAATTAAAGCTTATTTTTAATGAATGCAAACACTTCTAACCTGTTGGGATTACAGCCTGTGGTCCCAATACCTAATTCATGCATGTTTGAGACTCCAATAATAATGGCACCAGCTTCCCGTAGTTTCCTGGTCACAGTGGCATCTTCAGTTTCTGGCTTTGTACCCAGGTATTCTGTTCCGCTTCGATGATAATAGGGAACCTTGTAATACAACATACAGATGTGTGTTATGCATGGGTGTCAGATGAACACAGCCCAGCAGTCTCTGAATTCCCTCAGGGTTGTCTCTCCAAAAGGGTTGTCTCTCAAATCCTTCTACATGCAAAAGGAACAGCCCAAACAGAATCCCATCTCCTTTCTTAAGGGCAATCTTACTCAAGAAAGAAACTATTGCATACCACTTTGATCTCCTCCTTCAAGCACACTGGAATTCCATCCAAGAGAGAGAGGGGTTTCTTCTCTCTATAGCGAGCAGTGGAGCACTCAGCCATCTGAACCGAGAGGCATAACATGATCAGTCATAGGGCTTTCAGCAATATAAGTGCTGAGAAGGGTAGAGATAAGGAAACACAGGCTGGTCCAAGCATGTCCCCAATATTAAATCTTGATCAAAGGACTTCAACACCAAAGCGTAGAGTTTACCCTGACCTGTGGGAAAACCCACACACATACAAATACCCAACATATTAAGAAAAAAAACTTAATAATAAACTTCTAATAAACCTTAATTATCTCCTCCTGGTCCCATTGAGAAATTGCTCGCAGATGGGGACTTATTCTCTCAGGATCTTCCAAAACAGCAAGAATATTCTTGGCAACTTGAAGGGGTGTCACTTCTCCAGATCTTGAAAACAAATAACAATTGTGGTGAGAATACCAGGCAGCAATCTTCATTTGAGTACCCAGGATCTGATTACTACAAAGTCTGTAAGTCACATGTGTCAAACTCAAGGCCTGCAGGCCAAATCCAGCCTGCCATGTCATTTTATGTGGCTCTCCAGATGCCAAACTACAACTTCTGTATTCCCCATCATGACTAGAGTTGGTGGGAGTTGTGATAACAATTGTGATAACAGTAACATATGGAAGACTGCCAATTGTTCTGTCCAGTCACGATAGTAAGGTTTGAATTTAGATATAAGGCTTGGGGATATGATGTCTGACTTTAAAATGCCCTTTAACCTTTCCCCAACCTCAGAGCCACAAGTGCTGTTGGGTTGCAATTTTGATTATCCCCAGTCCACAGCCAGATATTTAAAAGATATGGAATTGTCATTCAATAAATGTGGACACCCAAATTGGGTAAAAACTAACCACTACGTAAAAAAAAGTTACAGTTGAATCTTTATATCCATGAATTTTCCATCTATGGATCCAATGGCGCTTTGAAGGCAACCATAAGGCTGACGTGACCTTCAATTTGACACCCCTGCACTAAGTAGATGGAGGTTTCTATTTTTTGTTTCTGAAAGTCATTTTGCCTAACCCTTGACATCTGCTATTTTAATGAAGTGGAATTAAAAGGGGTATAGTGGAATACTTTTTGTTAAACTAGAATCCCTCTCCTAGATTCTACCATTATAAATCTCAAAATTCTGTATTTTATAAAAATGGCACTTAAAGAGTTATAAAACATGAAATTTGTCTCCACAATTTATGGCAGCATAGCACTTCCCTCAACTAGAATACTAATGGATTATATCACTCAGAGCTGGGAAGTAACTATTTACACATAATGAAAGTGTAATTACACCATAATGCAATTTTATTTTAATTGAAATTATCTTTTGGTGTCACTTCAATAATATTTCATGGTTGAAATGCTGATTCCTACAGAGCTGCTGCAGATGAGTAATGACAAGATCTTAGGATTCCCAAAGACATCTCTGGTAATGAAGCCTTAGACCATTTCCAGTGCTCCCTTTCTATTTGTTTGCTTACTATTTTATCATCATGATTTTACAGCATTTACAGTTGCCATTAATAAAAAGAAAAAATGTGTAAACAACATTCATAAAATGCAAATGAGACAAGTGACACTGAGAATATTTAGAATCACAGAATCATAAAGTTGGAAGAGACCTCATGGGCCATCCAGTCCAACCCCCTGCCAAGAAGCAGGAACATTGCATTCAAAGCACCCCTGACAGATGGCCATCTAGCCTCTGTTTAAAAACCTCCAAATAAGAAGCCTCCACCACACGCCAAACAGCTCTCAGAGTAAGGACGTTCTTCCTAATGTTCAGATGGAATCTCCTTTCTTGTCGTTTGAAACCATTGTTCCATGTCCTAGTCTCCAAGGCAGCATAAAAAAAGCTTGCTCCCTCCTCCCTATGACTTCCTCTCACATATTTATACATGGTTATCATGTCTCCTCTCAGCCGTCTCTTCTTCAGGCTAAACATGCCCAGCTCTTTAAGCCACTCCTCATAGGGCTTGTTCTCCAGACCCTTGATAATTTTAGTCGCCCTCCTCTGGACACATTCCAGCTTGTCAACATTTCCCTTCAATTGTGGTGCCCAGAATTGGACACAATATTCCAGGTGTGGTCTAACCAAGGCAGAATAGAGGGGTAGCATTACTTCCCTGGATCTAGACACTAGACTCCTATCGATGCAGGCCAAAATCCCATTGGCTTTTTTTGCCGCCGCATCACATTGTTGGCTCATGTTTAACTTGTTGTCCACGAGGACTCCAAGATCTTTTTCACACGTACTACTCTCGAGCCAGGCATCCCCCATTCTGTATCTTTGCATTTTGTTTTTTCTGCCTAAGAGGAGTATCTTGCATTTGTCACTGTTGAACTTCATTTTGTTAGTTTTGGTCCATCTCTCTAATCTGTTAAGATCGTTTTGAATTCTGCTCTTATCTTCTGGAGTATTGGCTATCCCTCCCAATTTGGTGTTGTCTGCAAACTTGATGATCATGCCTTCTAACCCTTCATCTCAGTGGTTAATAAAGATGTTGAACAAGACCGTGCCCAGGACAAAGCCCTGCTTGTGGCACTCCGCTCGTCAATTCTTTATTTTAAATAGAACCTGTATAACCAAGTAGTGCAATAAGGCTCTAGATGGGGCTAAAGAGAAATTCATTGTGTTTACTGTACAGAACATACACAAAAGGAAGACAATCCAAAGAAGAAAGAAAATATCACTGCTCTTGCTCTAGCATTTACTTACTGATAGCAATTCAAATAATCTTGGATCCCTTTGAAGTTGAAAGCAGGGTTAGTGGAACATGACCTGTTTTTCCCCAAAAATTGAAAAGAAAACAAAACAGAAGGAAAAGACAAAAAACATTGCAATTATACAGAAATGAGAAGATGTTCATTTGCAGTATAAGATGCTGCATAAGTATCCTTTTTTCTTGCCATGTCTAGTATCTGGCTTTAGTTAATTGCTCTTAGCTTTCCACACTTAATTGAAGGGCATCTAGACTTTACAGTGTTCGATTTCATATTACTGTGAAATATTATATTAACATGCCAGAAAAGAACTGAACGTAGAAGTCTCCTGGAACACCTGATCGAAAAGGTAAGTAAGTTTCAGGGACCATTTTCATTTAGATTTGATCCATTAGAACTTGTATTTTGACACTTTTTCCTTATAGTCACTTCTCTTCAGGTAGGTATATATATATGTGGAATCCTTTCAGTTAAGGTGGTCCCAAGTTATTTATAGCTGTACAGGCTAAGCTAGTTCTGTGAATTGTTTACAAATCTGAACAGGAAGCAATACTGACAATTTCCTTTTCATACATTTACTACTTTCTGCAACTTTCTACATCAGTTACCTAAAGAATTCTACCTTGTCTAGAATCTGTATTAACATACTTCATATCAAGCAGCTTATGCAGAATCTCTGAGTCATTACTGGACTTTGAAAGGTCACTTTTTCCTTCTTCAGCAACAACTGGAAGAAAAGTAGGGTCTTCTGAAATATCAAGATAGCGTAGGATGGTAAAGTTGTTGATCCTGCAAAAAAGAAAGTTCAATCCACTGAATGAGCCTGAGTAAAAACTGATTCACATCAAGAGAAATGCTCAGAACACAGTCTGAATTGCACCTTAATTACTGATAGCCTTAGTTGGCAAATCCTATGAGTCCCCTTCGGGGAGATAGGGCAAAATACAAATAAAATTTATTTATTTATTTATTATCCTTTTAATCAAGACACACTTGAAAACAGCAAAGCTTTTGTACAAGATAAATTTGCACATTGTGTCAAGAATTGTACAGATTTGTCAAGAAGCAAAATAAACCCAATGTCACTAGCAAGACAAAAAGAGAACTCAAAGGGGTGAGATCCCTTTGACCACAATTACTGGGAATGGTGAATTCATCACTTCCCCAAACGTCCAATATTTTGCTCACATTCAGACAAAACTCCAAACTATGGGATGGAAATTAGCAAATTAGACGGGAGGGAGAGGCAACTAGCTTTGACCCTGAACATTCGCATGATGGCAAAATGGAGACCAATAATGACATTACATCTCATTTTGCCAATTGGCTGGCTTTTCTTAAGTAATAACACAGGTTGAACATTCCTTATCTGAAATTCTGAAATCTAAAATACTCCAAAATCTGAAATAATCCACATGGGTGGCTGAGACAGCAACAACTTTAATTTCTGATGGTTCAATTTTGCTTCATGCTCAAAACTATTTTACAATAATGTATAAACTTATATTCAAGCTACCTGTATACATGAAACATAAATGAATTTTATGTCTAGAGTCTGCTCTCATCTCCTTATGTACAGGCATGAAAATTCAGGTATTTCAAAAGTCATCCGACCCCCTCAAAAAAAAATCAAAAACACTTCAAAAGCTCATGAGGTTTTTGGGTTATACAGCCCAAAAAACTCACAGCAACCCAAAATCCAAAACATTTCTGGTCTTTTTTTCTGATAAAAGATACTCAATCTCTATAAGATGAACTGGGAAGAAAAAGATGAACTAATTAAATGTCACCTTCTGTAGACAAATAAATAAATTCTGTCAATAAAAATGGGGTCTGTTGCTCTATGCAAAAATATAGATTATCAGAAATTAAGGCAAGTAATGTTATTAGCACTTTAACAATAGGATGGAATTTTTCAGACATGATAGTGAAATTGTTAATACTTCTGTCAGAAACATTTTAATCACATCACAAAGATCACATGTAACTTAGATAAGATGCTTTCTTGTTACAAATCAAGTTGTACTTTTAACACGTTTTGATGTTACTTATTATTGCAGTTTTTTTCCCTTTCTCCACTTTAGTTTATTGTTAAAAATGAAACAAATAGACAACAGCTCACACAGAATCATGTGAACCTGTAATTGTTTTAGTTTTTCTAGCCCACATTTTTTCAATTTTATGTTACTTTCTCTAGTCCAGGTTTCCAATTTTATGTTCTCTTAAATCTGGCCAAAAGATAAATCTCATATGTGTGCATTGAATAATATTTTATGGAATGCTGATACTTAGTTGTGAGTTCTGAATAATACTGTACACAATATTAATGTTTCTTTCTTTCAAATAATATAACATTTCAAATAATATGCATTATGTCTGCTATAATATGACGAAAACATGCTGGCAGAAGGAAAACCAGAGGAGATAACTGAAAATATCCTTTAGGTTTTGCCATGCTACATTTGCATGTGGCTAAAGGAAAATGCCCAGACAAGTAGAGCCTTGCCCCAACAACACTCCAGTAAACATCTCAGGCTCCAACAACACTGCTATATAATGTTCAGTGAAGACTCACAGAATGCAGATTAAACTGAATTGAACTGGATTACATAAATCAATGCTGCCATATAATCCAGTCCAGTGCAGTTAATCTGCATTCTGAAGCTGCATTATATGGCAGTGTAGATGGGGTCCCACATTGGCTGGGCCTCTCTTCAAATTCTAAAACAAACACTTACCGCATGATAAGGGGCACTAAAATAAGTTGCCCAAAAGCCTGTAAAGAAAAAAGACAAAGATTTGCAATTACACTTGAGCTCCTATTGTGAATACTGAGGCAGATCTTTTTAAAAGTAAACCTGACAAAGAAGCACACTCACTCACTTATGGGCAAATGTAACATTCTCTCTCGCTCTCGGATCAAGTTTCAAAGACACCCATTGTGCTGTTGGGGCATTCTTGTCAGTAAAATTATTTATTTATTTGCAACATTTATATGCCGCCTTTCTCACCCTGAAGAGGAAAATACCAAGGCAATTGAAATCTCCCATTACTTTTGTGCCTTAGTTGCTTTGCAGCAAGAGGACCAGCTATCTTGAATCTGGTCCTAACCAGTTGGTTAATAAGAAAGAAGTAGATAGATCATTGTGTGAAGGCGACCATATTCTTTTGGAACTTGTTATGCAGACAAAACTGAAGCAACTGTATTCAGACACACATTCTGAACTTTAAGGAAGATGATCTTGATAAATTTAAAGACATACTGGCTGAGATCCCATGGTCAGAAATGCTCAAAGTGAATGGAGTAAATAAGGGACGAAAATTTCTTAAAGACAAAAAAAACCTGGAGATTCAATTGCACATAACCCCAAAGAGAAAGAAAAGAAGAAGGTGTTTAAAGAAACCAGAGTGGATGTATAAAGACCTTTCAAAAGAACTATGATTTATAAGAGACATGTTAAGCCCTGTTAAGGCAGGAACTGAAGAGGAGACATGTAAAAAATAGTGAGTGGGGGAAAACAGAACTTAAAATGGGTAAGAAAAGGCTAAATTGCAAACTCACCTGCTGGAAATGGCCTGATGGTACTAGCTAAAGAGCTTCCCCACTGGTAGCAGGAGAGTGAGTGTCTATCTCTCTTTTTTCAGTCACTCACTCCCTTTCCCCATTTCCAGCTAGCCAATGAGTCGCATACAGGAGGCACAGCATACAACACAGTCAGTAACTAGCATTCCAAAAGGGGAAGAGTGACAGCAGCAAAGATTCTCAGGGGAGTAGCAGCAAACAGGAAAGGAGAGACAGTCTCCCCATCATGGCACCCCAGCAAAGCCCACTCCTCCTGTTTCCATGAAATGCCCTCACGTAGGGAGGCAGAATCATCCATGACTGCGTAAAGACGTATCCCGTGCTGCTTGTGAGCAATATAGAAATAAACAGTGAAAATGAGCCAATAAAGAGAATTGGATTTCTTTTTTGGACTTGAAAGAAGAGGACCTAATGAGCAGAAATAAATCTTCAAAAGGTAAAAGATAAGCTCAATATTTATGAATGCCCACTGAGGCAAAACCAAAAGTGAATGAAAATGAAAAGAAAGAAATGGATAGTAATCAGTTGTTAAGCAAAGTAACAGAACTAAAGAAGAGGGCGATAAGAAAACAAGGGAATTGAAATTGATGTTTGAAAAAGAGAGAGAGACGAAGAAACAAGAAAGAAAGGATGATATTCAAGTTATGAAACTGGAAATCCAGGCGAACTCCAAGGAAATGAAGGAGCAATTGGACGCAAAAAAGGAAAATCTCAGATGACAAATTTCAGACTATACAAAATAATCTACAAACAGTATATGGAGAGATACAAACAATTAAATCAGAAGCTGAAAAGAATAAACAAGAACAAAAAGCACTCAAACAAAAATTCAGCAAAGTGATAAAGAACTTTTAGATATGGGAAAAATGAGTATATGCAAGATAACCAGAGAAGAAATAATATTATAATTTAAAAAATCCCAGAAGGGAACAGGAAAGAAGATTTGAAAATTGAAATTTTGAAGTGGTTGCAAAAAATTACACAATTGCTAAACTGAACGGAAATTGATCTAGAAAGAATTCATCGTCTTCCGGCTCGAAGAAACAAAATAACACTTAGGAACATAATAATTTGAGTACACAACTTTGCCAAAAAAGATTTGATGAAAATACTGAGGAAGAAAACAGAAAATTTGAAGATGGGAGAAATAAAGCTCGAAATATTTAATGATTATTGCCCTGAAACTAAAAACTGGAGATACTCAATGAAGCCAATTATGATTCAGTTAATGAAGGCTGGAATACTGTATACCTGGGGATATCCAACTTTTCTCAAATTCCAGTGGAGAGGCAAAAGGTACAGAATTGATTTTTTGGAGCAAGGATTTCAACTACTGAATGAGCTCGGCATAATAAAGAAACAAGACAGAGATGGAAAGAATGAGGAGGAGAAAGGAGTGGTGGGAGGAAAAACACTAGAGAAAGAAGGATATTTAGAGGAAATAATCAGCACTGTCAGAGGAATTGGGCTGTAAGAAGAAATTTAGAAGCACTGCAAGTAGAAATTTATTATTTTTAGGGAAAAAAATGAGCACTCGGGGGGTGGGAGACTCTGGGTCACAGGATGACCCCCCCCCCTACTTGGGAAGGCCAGGGGCCATGGGTGGGACAAGACGTCCCAAAGAATGGAAATGGGGGAAGGGGGGAATGAGGGGAGGAGGGGTAGTGGGGGGAGGGGGGAAGGAGGGGGGAGGGGATTATAAGGGACAAGGGATCACAATGGAAAAGGATCAAACCACAAAAAAGTTTTTAATGGAAATAGAAATTATGTCCAATAAATTAAGAATATCAACACTGAATACCAGAGGTTTAGGAACAGTAATTAAAAGGAGGATTTAAATGCTATAGAAAAAAGGTGCAGAGGATGTTATCTTCTTACAGGAAACACACCAAAATAAACTGGGTTCGAATGAATTAAAATTGAGCTGGATAAGAACCTATGAAAAATCTTTTGGGTCATCAAAATCGAGAGGTGTAGCTATAATAATTGTAAAGAAATGTAACTTCGTAATAAACAAGGTATTGAAAGATGAGGAAGATAGATACATAATAATGTATGGTGAAATAGGGGAGGATAGATACGTATTAGTAAATGTATATGCACCAATGTAAAACAGCAAGACTTCTATGAAAAAGTACTAGGTCAGATAGAGAAATTATCACCAACAATATATAATATTTGGAGGGGATTGCAATTGTTAAATGGATAAAAAAGACAAAATGTCAAAAATTAAAAATAGTGAAACAATGGACTTAAGTAAAGTGATGAATAAATGGCAATTAAAGGATGTGTGGAGAATGGTAAAGGGAGAGGAAAAAATATACATACTACTCGGCTGTACATAAAGTTTATACAAGAATAGATTATATTTTTGTTTCTAAAAATATGTTAAATGGATTGTTAAATGCTGATATTGGAATTATCAAGATTTCGATCATGCCTTGGTGTCAATTAAAATTGCTTTGAAATGTGATTATGATAAATTGAGAAGGTGGAGATTGAATACGAAAATTTTGAATTATAGAGAGATTATTGATAGAGTGAAATCAGAATGGCAAGAAATTTGGGGATTCATTAGAAAGGGAAGTATCAAAGTGAGTGCTATGGGACACAATGAAAGCGGTGGTGAGAGGGTTATGCATTAATCTCAAAAAAGGCAAGAAGAAAGGAAACCAGGATTGTGGCACAGCTGGCTGAGTGTTCGTTTATAAAGATTTAAAACCTGATAAAGATTTAACAGACCCAGGGTCATTTAGGCCCATTAATATATCATTAATCAGGATGCTAAGATTTTATCTGCTATAATAGCCAATAGAATGAATAAATGCATGTATAAGTACATAAAAAGATCAGTGTGGGTTTGTAAAAGAAAGATAAATGTCAAATTTGATAGGGAGAGTATTAAATAAAAGTTGTGTGCTTCAAGTTAGAAAGACAAAAGTAGGGATATTATCATTAGATATATTTAAAGTTTTTGATTGTGTGGAATGGTGGACATTGAGGGAGATTATGAACAAATTCAGAATGGGAAGTAGAATAAAAGGATTATTATAACAATACTATTAAAGAAATTCAGCAATAGTAGCGATTAATGACAAAAGGGTGACAAAAGTAATAAAAGTGATAAATGGAACAAGACAAGGTTGCCCTCTATCACCAATTTTGTTTGCCATGGTGATAGAATTATTTGCAAATGCCATTAGGAAAGATAGGAACCTAGAAGGGGTAGGAATAAAGGAAAAGCAGAAGGTAAAATGGATAAAATAAAGGATCATTTAGAGATATTTGGGGAAACAACGGGTTTACAAGTTAACTGAAATAAATCAGAAATGATGTTATTTAATTATACAAAGAAGGAAGAAAAAGACTCTATAGAACAGAGTAAAATGGGAATCAGAATTAAGAATAAATTAAAATACCTGGGAGTAATAATAATAAAGGACTTAAAAGAAATGGAAGAGATAAACGTAGCAGGATTGAGAAAAGTAGTTCAAAAAATTAATAGAGTATGAAAATATACATTTATCTTGGTTTGGAAAGTTTGCATTAGGAAAAATTAAAATACTTCAGAAGATAAATTTTATATTTAAGATGCTGCCACTTCAGATTACAGAAGAAAGATGGCAACAAATGATAAATAAATATTGTAATGGTAGTAAAAGAAATAGGTTAAACAGACAGTTATGGTACAGATTCTGACCAATCACAGAAAGGGGGCTTTGCTGAGCAGTTGGCTTGTGAAGAGACAAAGGGCACTGAGTGGTGGTGAATGGGTTTCCCTTTATTCAACAGGAAAAATAATAAAAATGATTAAGGGAACTTGGTCTTAGCCAGGAAAACTTTATTGTGTGCAGGATGGTCATGGCAGAGTCCCACTAGAAGGCCAACCCAGGGCATTGGCCCTCGATCATGGCAACTCAAAGCAGGACATTTGGCAGTCATGCAAATGGAAGAGGGGCTTAAGAAAAAGACAATCCTTCCGTGATGACAGGTCCCGCACACAAAGGCGCATTGTGAAGAGTAGCTACTTTCCCTGAGACAGGCAGGAAAGGCAATGGGTCATCTTGTCCTGCCCATTGGGCTATTGTGTTACATATGTCCAGATAATGTCCATAAGATGGGTGAGGCTGGGAATTGATTGAGGAAATCCCCAGCTTGGAGTCTTTTCTCATCATAGGAGATGCAGGACTTCCTTTTGTGATCAGGAATACAGTTTTCCATCCAGGTAAAAGAACAGGAAATCTCAGAGGCACAACATATATATTAGTAACATAGGAAAAAGCAGGGAATTTTAGGGCATTTTTTCATGCACATGAGAGACACAGTTTCCCAAGTACATACAGATATCCAAGCCAGGCTCCCTTGTATGCAGATCAAGGCATGAGGAAGGGAAAATACATAGAAATAATACAATTCCATACTGGGGAAAGGGGAACATGCAGAATGGGCTTTCAGGGGAAGCTTGGAACAAAAAGTCAGGAAGGTTACACATTGCAAGGATGGGAACAGATAAGGAAAACCATCTTTGAACATATGATTATTCAGCAGTTAAAGAGTTCTTTTTAACAGCAGTCCTGGGAGATATAATTTCTCAGGCTTGGAAAACATAGTCTTCAGAATCCCTGGGTTGAGTTAGGTCCCAAAAGAGGCCAGAGAGTGTGCTTTGAAACAGGGAGGGTGGCAAAAGGGAAATATAATGAGCAGAGAGAGTTTAAACTATCAAAGGCTTTCTAATGAGGGAACCAGCTATCCGGAAAAAGAAGAAAAGAGGAAAGATACATGATGGCTGGGAAAGTACATTACAGCAAGCAAAGGGCAAGAGAAGCACAAAGCTCAGGGTGACCAATTTATTAAGGGATCATAAGCAATCTGTAGTTAGTTTACTGATTGTCTGAACATGCGCAGAGCCAAACAAGTAACTTTAAGTGTCTGCAGCCTTTAGAACTCTCTGCTGCAAGCACGAAGGGAACAATTTTGCCCAGGGGGGGTTTCATGCAACAATAGCAATGGCAAGCTGGCGGGGGATATGTCCTGTGACAGTGGCAATGCTCGAGCAGTCCTACAGAATCACTGGCAGCCCAGGAAGTGGAGAATAGACAAGTTCTGCCATCACCACTTCCAAAGCCAGAAGAGGAGGACAAATACAAGGCCTCAATAGCCCAGCAGGGGATGGTTGTAGCAGCTACAGCAATGGACAAAACAGAAGACAGCCTGGGCAATGATGTGGAGTGGAGTCATCTTCCACTTGAGTACACGTGTGTAAATTTCATTTCTCAGCAGTCCAGAAAGGAGGGTGCAGCACAGGGATTTTGGTACACGAGGAGATCTACAGAAGTGGCATCATGTATCCAATGCAGGTTAGGGGATTCTGGAGGTTGTGACAGTAGCAGTCATTCTGGTTCCTGCCGCCTCGGTGATGCTAATGTCCCAAGGAATTCAAAAAGGCTGCAAGTTGCACTATAGCTATGGGAGTACTTACAGTGACAAATGTATAAGCCGACCTAAGGAGCCCACGGAGATGCAATGGGTTAAACCTGTGTGCCAGCAGAACTGCTGACTGAAAGGTCAGCAGTTCAAATTCGGGGAGCAGGGTGAGCTCCTGTATGTCAGCTCCAGCTTCCCGTGAAGGGACATGAGAAAAGTCTCCCACAGGATAGTAAAACAGGCAGATGTCCCCTGGGCAACATCCTTGCAGACGGCCAATTCTCTCAAACCAGTTTCTCAAGTTGCTTCTGGCACGAAAAAAAAGCCAACCTAGATTTTTGGGGTAGATTTGTAATCAAAATCTTTTTGACATACATAGTGGTACATGTTTACTGTTCATTTTGTTATTTTCAGTAAAATTTAATTATAATTGTGTTTTGCTGGATTGTTTTTCCTCCAATGCAATTTTTCACACTAGGCTACAAACTAAAGAAGGTTGCCCGTTGTTCTAACTCCAAGGTCATTTCAATATGGATTATTTTGTTAGAATGGCAACTACAAGACATTTCCTCTATGTTGGATCACCAGATCTTGATCTCCTTTCACTTCTTGTAATAAATATTATTTAAACATACTCCCAAGAAACCAAATCCTTGGGCTCTCTGTCAGTTTATGTTACCTAAAAATATTAATGTTCAAACTATTTAAATGCAAAAAAAAAAACAAAAACCCAGCCTGTATATTTGGTAGATCTAAAGGGAAATTACTTCATTGAGGACAAAGAGACGGACTGTAGACATGCTAAAGCACTTTTATGACTACAATATTTAAGTAAATTAAAATGGCTGCAACTCACAGTGTTGGCCAGGTGTGTTGCAAGTCGCAGTGTGAAGCCTGAGAGTCGTGGATTCCACTGAAGATAAAAAGAGAAAACAAGTGTTTATGAATCAGTGTGTAAGGACAGAGTTGCTAATCAACTTCCATGACATTAAAAATGAGAACAAAATTCCAACATTTGAGTGGACGAAGGCCCCTTCCACATAGCTGAATAAAATCCCACATTATCCACTTTGAGCTGGTGTATATGACAGTATGGACTCAGATAACCCAGTTCAAAGCAGATATTGTGAGATTTTCGGCCTTGATATTCTGGGCTATATGGCTATGTGGAAGGGCCCTAATATTTCAGTCATCCAGAACAAATGCCACAGTCTGCAAGATTTTAAAATTCCAAATTCTTCTTCAAAACAACTGGAAACAAACATACTACTCAACATATATCTCATAATTAGAAATTGCCTGCTACATATGACAAACCCTGGCATAATAAATCAGGGAGACTATTTTCACCAATTACGTCATCTGCAGCAAAACAGTATTTTGAATCCCCAAGCCCTCACAGGAATGTAAGAGCCACTACCTTATTTTAGAGTGGCTTAATTTCACTTTGCAACAACTACTATATATATGCTGAGTTCTTCAGCCCTTTTGGGGGGGCTGAAAATGCCTCCCTCAGCTTACAATGAGGTCAAGGCTCCAATGCTGCCCTTGCTATTACAGCTGTTTCCAGCCATTGCTTGCAATATATTATATATTTCTCTTTCCTCCCTTAACAGTATGTTTTCTTTCCAAAGCCTCCCTTACTCCGCTTCTCCTCCCAGGCTGGAGTTGCGCATTTTGGATACTCTTATTTTGAGAGAGGGAGAAGGGAATGTTTTGAAAAGGGAAAGGGAGAGCCTTTGCAAGTCAGAAAGAAAAAGACTGCATGGGTAAGAAGGGAGGAAAAAGAGAGAAAGACACTTGCAAATCTGCAATATTTATTATTATTATTATTATTATTATTAATAATAATAATAATAATAATAATAATATTTTAAAAGAGAAAAGGGAATGTTGTTCTTCCTTGGGGAAATGCATGAGTCAAAGCTTGTAAATAATATATAGATTTTTCCCCTAGAAATCTTTGCAAGCCCTGTGTTATCTGTATATATCTATATGCATATTCATCTTATATATGCATTTCCCCTGAAATCTTTTGCAAGCCCAATTTCTGTGTATCTAAATTTTATTTATTTATTTATTTATTTGCTATACTTGTATACCGCCGTTTCTCAGCCTAGCCGGCGACTCAACGCGGTTTACAACAACTTATAACAAACAACAGTATACAGTTTAAAAACATAAAAACACAATCCACAATACATATATCAATAAACAATCCAATTCATCTCTTGACTAAAATCGCAATCCAGTTTCGTCGTCCAAATTGCCAGTCCTTCAATCATTACACTTATTGCACTGAGTTAACCGAACGCCTGCTCGAACATCCAGGTTATTAGTCTTTTTCCGAAATACCATCAATGAGGGGGCTGATCTTACCTCCATGGGGAAATGTATTAACTTTTTATGTGCATTTTGGAAGTATTCATTGGCCATATAGATCTATAAATGTTTCTATATATGCATGTTTCTCCTGAAGTCTTTGCAAACCACACACATATATATATCCATTAATCTTATAAAAGCACCCCCCCCCGCGCGAAATATTTGTTAATCTCTCCTTAGGGAACTTCTTCACCCTCCTGAGGTGGAGGAGACCTTCGACGACCCGAGAACTCGGTGCTGCGAATTTGTGCAGCACTTTGCAGACAAAGTTGCTCAGATACGTCTTGAGTTGGACTCCAGTTTGATCGCAGTTCCAAGAGAGGTGACCGAGGCATCTGCTTGTCCGGTTTTGTGGGATTCCTTCCGGCTTGTTCGTCCTGAGGACGTGGAGGTGGCCCTTGGGGCAGTGAGAGCTACTACATCGGCTCTGGACCCTTGCCCGTCTTGGCTAATTAAATCGGCCAAGGATGGTCTGATTGATTGGTTTATGTTAATCATCAATACATCGTTGGAGCAAGGAATTTTTCCATCAGGCTTAAAACAGGCTGTGGTTAGACCACTCCTGAAAAAGACTTCCCTTGATTCCACGGTCTTGAATAACTATAGACCAATCTCAAACCTCCCTTTTTTGGGCAAGGTGTTGGAGCGGGTGGTCGCTGCTCAGCTCCAGGGCTTCCTGGATGACATCAACTATCTGGATCAGTCACAGTCTGGCTTCAGACCTGGCCATGGCACCGAGACGGCTTTGGTCGCCTTGGTGGATGATCTCCGCAGGGAGCTGGACAGGGGGAGTGTGACCCTGTTGGTTCTCTTGGACATCTCAGCGGCTTTCGATACCATCGATCATGGTATCCTTCTGGGAAGACTCTCTGGGATGGGCCTTGGAGGCACGGCCTTGTCATGGCTCCCTTCCTGGAGGGTCGATCCCAGATGGTGAAGCTGGGTGACACCTGCTTGGACCCCTAGCCTTTGACCTGTGGGGTCCCGCAAGGCTCCATTCTGTCTCCCATGCTTTTAACATCTACATGAAACCGCTGGGAGAGGTCATCCGGAGTTTTGGAGTTGGGTGCCATCTCTATGCAGATGACACACAACTCTACTACTCTTTTCCACCTAACTCCAAGGAAGCCCCTCGAGTGCTAGACGAGTGCCTGACCGCTGTGGCTGTCTGGATGAGGACGAACAAGCTGAAGATTAATCTCCTGGTCAATCGTAAACCAGACCGGGGTATAGGGTGGCAACCTGTGCTGGATGGGGTTGCACTCCCCCTGAAGTCGCAGGTCCACAGTTTGGGGGTCCTCCTGGATTCTTCACTTACATTTGAGGCTCAGGCTTCGGTGGTGGCCAGGAGGGCCTTTGCACAATTAAGACTCGTGCGCCAGCTGCGACCGTACCTCAGGAGGGCGGATCTGGCCAAGGTGGTCCACGCCTTAGTCACCTCTAGACTGGATTACTGCAATGCACTCTACATGGGGCTGCCCTTGAAAACGGCCCGGAAATTTCAGATGATCCAACGGGCGGCAGCCAGGTTGTTAACTGGGGCTCCTTACAGGGAGCGGTCAACCCTCCTGTTCAAGGAGCTCCACTGGCTGCCATTCATTTACCGGACCCAATTCAAGGTGCAGGTTCTTACCTACAAAGCCCTGAACGGTTTGGGACCCGCCTACCTGCGTGACCTCATCTCCATATATGAACCCACACGATCCCTTTGATCATCCGGGGAGGCCCTGCTCTCAATCTCACCAGCATCGCAGACGCGGTTGGTGGGGATGAGAGAGAGGGCCTTTTCGGTGGTGGCCCCTCGACTCTGGAACTCACTCCCTAAAGACATCAGACAGGCCCCAACCTGGCAGTCTTTAGGAGGAACTTGAAGACGTGGTTGTTCCAGTGTGCCTTCCTGGAATAATGATCCCATAGCACTTTGTCCTCCAAAGCACTTTACACTTTTTAGATCTGCTCGTATGCCCTTCCACAAAGGCCACTATCACCTTTCGTCCATGTCCCAGCATTATTTCCATTTTAAGTTTACATTTGGCGTTCCCACTGTTTTTAATTGCGTGTTGTCTTATTGATAATGTTGTATATTTTATTGTCTATGTTTTATTTTAATTGCTTGTACTGTTGTTGTTTTGCTTGTATTGTTGTATTCGGGCTTGGCCTCATGTAAACCTCACCGAGTCCCTTGGGGAGATGGTAGCGGGGTACAAATAAAGTGTTATTATTATTATTATAATCCCTATGTACCTATATATATTTATCAATCTATCTACATTAATTTTATATATGAATTTTCCTCTCATATGTTTGTAGGTACCTATATATCTGTATCTATATGTATGCATTATTTTTATATATGAATTTTCCCCTCACATTTGCAGGTCTCTGCAAATCTAATATAGATATCAATAAACTTATAGAGGTACCTATAAGTATATCTGTGTGTATATATATCTATCAATAATTTTATATATAAATTTCCCCCCACATGTTTGCAAGTCTTTGTAAATGCTATGTAGATATAATAATTATATATATATAGAGAGAGAGATGTCTAGATAGATAATATGAATATAGATATATAAGGCTTGCAAATATTACGGGGGGAATGCACACACAAATATATATAGACATGTCTAGATAAATATTAATATAGATATAAAGGGCTTGCAAATGTTGCAAGGGAAATGTTGCAGGGGAAATGCACACACACACACACACACACAGATGTCTAGATAGATATAAACATATATCTATATAGGGCTTGCAAATATTGCAGGAAGGAAAGAGAGGAGAGAGAATTTGCAAGCATTTCAGGGGGAAATGCACATGTGAAATTAGTAAATATAATTATAGATCTATATCTAGCTCTGCATTGTTTATATAGGCATTGAATGTTTGCCTGTTACTATGTTGGAAGCTGGACTGAGTCCCCATGGGGAGATAGGGTGGGATACAAATGAAGTATTATTATTATTATTATTATTATTATTATTATTATTATTATTATTATTAAGTTATTGTTGATATATTGTTTTTGTTGACCCTACTTTTACACTTACAGAACTAGTTTACTGTTTTTTCTTTGAAATATGGTAAATATTCAAAAACATTTAACTTACTGATGTCTCAATTAATGTAATTTTATTGTTATCTATTTTTATTTTGAAATTTAACAGTAGACTCATCGAATCATAGAAACATAGAATCAAAGTTGGAAGAGACCTTATGGGCCATCCAGTCCAACCCCCTGCCAAGAAGCAGGAATATTGCATTCAAATCACCCCTGCCAGATGGCCATCCAGCCTCTGCTTAAAAGCTTCCAAAGAAGGAGCCTCCACCATACTCCAGGGCAGAAAGTTCCACTGCTGAACAGCTCTCACAATCAGGAAGTTCTTCCTCGTGTTCAGATGGAAAATATAGAGAGAGTAGCGGCTACATTTCCCACCCTAGGTTTATACTCAAGTCAATAGGTTTTCCCAGATGTTTATAGTAAAATTGGGTGCCTTGGCTTATACTCAAGTTTATGTG